AAAAAAAAAAAAATCCTTTAATGGATAATTTCCATAAAAAATAAAGTCAAACGAAATCAAAACATTCAAAATTTAAATATTTTTCACGTGAAAAATTATATCAATAAAAAACAATTAATTACAATTCTCAATAAAATAATTTTTAGGCAATTTAATTCCCTAGAATTCATTTTCTTTCCACCCATTTTCTACATTTGCAATCAAACGGACCCTTATAGAGCATTTATAATGGCCAGTGTAGAAACTTTGCTATGTTCGCAAGATATACAGTCTATTTTTTTTTTTTCTTCTTTAACTTGCATTTGACTATGCAGGCAATAATAAGCAACTGTACGTAAGCCGATTTCGCATGTCACATAATCGAAAGAGGCTGAAAATCATGTATCTCAGTAAATGGGATAAAACAAAACCATTTTGAAATGAAATAGGACTTCCTTCTACTCTGTTGACTTGATATGGAAAAAAAAAAGTCAAAAAAAAAATGTAAAAATGAAACAACATTATCTCCATTTTCATCTAGTCTAAAAAATTCATTTAGACATGTTGAATTAGTAATTTATTTAATTATCTAGCATTGAATTTTCTCTCTTCCTCTCTTTTAATCATTTTAATCTTATGGTGGATAAAAAGACACGAATGTTACCCGGCTGTAAATATAATTTATAGAAGATTGATTTAGGTGTTCAACTTACTTGTCACGGAAATTACAATGCATTGAAGATGCTCTTAGAAAACTAAACATAATTAATGTATCCCCTATTTGATTTAGCTAAAAATTGAAATTTTAATAAATTTTGATAAAAAGTAATGAAACGTGTACTTTAAAAGTTGATAAAAGTTATGAACTTTATAAAATATCTAATTGAAAATAATTTTAGGGAAAAATGAGGATGAGACATGAGCATAATACACACGGTTTAATGCAGAAATCATACATGGGACTAAAAAAATAAAAAGAACTAAAAATTAAAACAAATTAAGAAAAGGAGTTAGCGAAGGGGCCAAAGTTCAGAATAGTGGAGGATATGTAGGTGTCTGTTTAACACGTATAGTATCCGATCGCCTGATTTGATCTAGTTCAGCTCTCTTTTTCCGCACCAAATTTATCGAACTAGACTATCCGCGCTCAAATATGTAACAAAATAACGATATACAGAATTGATCTGATTTCGCGACCATAAAATCTTAGAGAAGATCCAAAACGAAATGTCGTCTAATATTACAGAAACCAAACAAACACTAACTTGCAACTGTGAAATCATTAACAATGGATTCACAAGATTGCAAATTTCACTCATGGAAAGATCGATGCTCAGCCTTTAAACCGTTTCTTAGTTCAGCACTCGCTAAATATGATTACAAAACTTTCCTGGTTATTCAAAAGCAAGCCAGTAGACATTTATTTGCCTAAAGTGAGGCTCCATAGTGCAGGTCTTCAGCCTCGGAATTGGTAAAATCTAATAGGGCTCAACAGGTGCTCGGAAGCTTGCTCCTGCATATACAGCCTCTGATCCAAGTTCCTCTTCAATCCTTAAAAGCTAGAGTTAAAAAAGGACCATTAGATCAGATGGCTCATAATTTGATTGTGATAGTTGACGACTTTATGTTTTAAGGCACACAAGTCAATGTTTTACCTGATTGTACTTTGCAAGACGTTCTGACCTGCATGGAGCACCGGTCTTGATTTGACCCTGGCATAATTCGTCAACAAACAGATTCAATACTCGAATTTACAAAGGAGAATCTACTGAAGAGATTAAACCACACTGTGAAAGAGGATTACCGTTGCCAAACCGACAGAGAGATCAGCAATGAAAGTGTCTTCAGTCTCTCCACTGCACACAGTGACAAAACCGATTATGCAATAAGTTCTATTCACCAAAATATATCTTTTATCATAACACATGGGGCTAAATTTCATACCTGCGGTGACTGGCCATCACACCCCAACCAGCCTTCTTGGACATTTTTACAGCTTCAATACTCTCAGTCACAGATCCAATTTGGTTGACCTGTTAGCCAAGGAGAATGTTGCAGTTATATTTTACAATATGCTTATAAAAGAGTTGAGCAATGGAAACAACAAATATTTTGATACCTTGAGAAGAAGAGCATTGCAAGCTTTCTCTTTAATTGCCTTCTCGACTCTCTAATTACGTGAATGAGAAGTTAGAAAATAGTGTATATACTGTGTACTAGGTAATAAACTAAATTTCAGGAGTGCCAGAGGTTATGCATTCAGAAAATTATACACCTTGGGATTGGTGACCAAGAGATCATCTCCCACAATCTGTACTTGAGCTCCAATTTCATCAGTTAGCTTGGCGTAGTGCTTCCAGTCATCTTGATCAAAGGGATCTTCAATGGATACAATCGGATACTCAGAAACGAATGACTTATAGAGATCTTTGAGCTGGTCACCTGAAATTTTTTTCGAGCCATCGTTGTTCTGCAAATACATAGCATACAATTTAGCGATTATGAAATATTATTGTATTATAGTTACCATGCTGTGCCCTAGTGCTTTCTGATGCACTTTACATCACAGAGCAGCAACGGATAGGAGGGACTTGCCTCTTCTTTGAAGTTCAAATCATAAGTCTTGTCCGATCCATAAAATTCTGATGCAGCAACATCCATTCCAATGACAACCTGTGAAGAAGGAAGATGCAAGCCTTACAAGATTTACTCTTTCACAAGGTCAAGGCAGAACAATTACAAGGTGATGATAGAACATTGAAGGAACCAAACACATACATAAAAAGAAAAGTGGAGAAGGAAATCACCTTTCCTGTATAACCTGCTTTAGCAATGGCTGTCTTGAGCAATTCAAGACCTTCTTTGTTCTCCTGAAATTGAACAAAACATAATACCATGAATGTCTATTGAAAAATTTGAAGGACAAAAAACTCACCCCGTCAAAATAAAATGTCCAACCTGAATGTTAGGAGCGAAGCCACCCTCATCACCGACATTGGTAGCATCTTGGCCATATTTCTTCTTAATAACAGCCTGAAGTCCATATGGACAAATGGCTAATAATCAGAATTGAGAAGCAAAAGAAACACTCTATAATAATATACACGTGGAATTTAGGAACAGGTCTGACATCAGAAACCCTAGAGATGCTCACTTTGAATTCTTTAGGATAATGAAGTCATAAATGATGCAAAAAAATCTACTTGAAAATTGTGATAGTGCAGAAAAATCAGCCCAGTAGACTTGGAACTTGGAATATCTACAAAGAAATGGGTGGTGCAACCATGCAAAGAAACATAACTATTTAACGACCTACTGACAAGTTTACAGCATGTTTTACAATGTCCAATTACGGAGGATACCCTAACACTGGCATTGACACATAGAGACTTCAACAATCGATGAGCGCTAGGTTAGAATACTTAATGATATTCAAATTAATGAAATAAAACGAATAGGTAAAAAGGACTAAAGAACTCAAAAATTATAACTCACCTTCAAATTGTGATATACTTCCACACCCATCTTCATGGCCTCATTAAATGAAGAAGCTCCAACAGGAAGAATCATAAATTCCTGCAACACAAATTTTAAAAGGAGAACTCAATTTTTGTAAAATACATTATTAGAACAATATATGTTCATTTCCTATGCGAATGACATGCCTGCATCGCCAATTTGTTTCCAGCATGTGATCCACCATTGATGACATTAAAAGCAGGAACTGGCAACACCAGCTTCTTGTTACCAGCTAGGTTTGCAATGTGCTGCACACAAAAAGTGAAATTTATCAGTAAGACATTTCATAGATGCCCGAGTCATGCAAACAACATTATGACTAAATTAAATCAAAAAAGCCACCATACTGGTTGGACAAAGTTTTATCAGTCCAGGGGATGAAGATACAATGCACTATCAGTTGACTGAATGTTCTATGTGTGTGTGTGTGAGAGAGAGAGAGAGACTAAACAAGCATTGCACCAGTAAAATTTGATTAAAAAAGTAAGTGCAGATCTCAATGAAGACAGAATCTGTGAATACCTTGTAAAGTGGAATATTGAGGACAGCAGCTCCAACTTTGCACACAGCAAGTGAGACAGCAAGTATGGCATTGGCACCAAGCTGAAGCAGCCAGAGTTATAAAGCTCATAAATATATTAACCAGCAAATCATATGTACATGGAAAAGTTTGTGTCAATAATCAATTCATAACTAAAACACCTTTTGCTTGCACCAACCCCACTCATTCTGAGTTCCATCAAGTTTTTGTACCATGAAGTTATCGAGACCAGTCTGATCAGTAGGATCCTGTAGCAGCAACACTTCAATTTCCACAAAACAATAAGAAAAAATAACTGTACAACTATATAACTTATAAGAGCATCCTCCTGCGGAACAATAGTATCTACAGTGCGAAGGTAAGAAGACAAAGAATACAGAACAAAATTAGATGCCCATGAAAGTTGATTAAACAAACCTTGCCAATGAGAGCAGGACCGATGATAGAGTTGACATTATTAACAGCCTATATAAGCATACCAAAAGCACAAAAAAATCAGCAAATAACATCTCTAAAAACAGAATCCAGCCACCACCACAAACACTTGCCTTAGTGACACCCTTTCCAAGGTAGTCTGAACCTCCATCCCTCAATTCGAGGGCTTCATAAATTCCTAAAAAAAAAATTATTACAAAAGTAAATCAGTCTATGGATTATGGATATGAGCATTCGCTGTTGGGATGTATCACAACGATAAAAATTTTACTTATTTCTGTGATATAAAAATATAAGGTACTAAAACTTAAAATTGAATCTCAACCAAACATGCTCAACAGAAAATTAATTTTAATATTTTGAATGATTAATTACAAAAATAATGATAATTATACCAAAACAAAAATAACTGATCTCATAAACCGGTAAAATGAAACCATCAAAGTCAATCCCCTTCAATCATTATTATTTCATATTCATATTAACAGAGTTTTACCTCTAAACAACAATCCAGAAAAAAATAACGACAAATTGCATTGCATGTGCATATATTTTACAGAAACAGATCTTACCGGTGGATGCACCACTAGGAACAGCAGCTCTTGCCCAAGTTCCATTCTTTAGATGCACATCAACCTACAGGTAATTAACTAATTCATTATCACTCAAGTATAATATATTAACTAGCACACTATAAATTAAGCTCACTCAATCAGATCATTTTCTAATAAATAAACTACTTTAATTTCATCGCCAACCAAATTCATAATTGAAACACAATCGAAACTGAAACTAAAAATCAAATACAGATATCTGGAAATCAGATAGTAAATGGATGAAAAATGAAAAAAAGAAGATTGACGGAGATGAAAAAGAGATCTAGCAAAGGACGAACCTCGACAGTAGGATTACCACGGCTATCGAAGATTTGACGGGCCTTGACGCTCTGAATAGTTGCCATAAGTAGAGATTCAGAGAGAGAGAGGAGTAGAGGACGGAGAATTCTAGAATCTAGAGTGATAAGAGTAAAGTGAGAGAGGGAAACAAGACGATGGGCCACGTATTTGTAGATGGGTTAGGGTAATAATTGGAGAAAATTACCATAAACAAGGTGTTTACTTTTGACTTTTAAAAAATCAGGTTTTTAGTTTATTTAATCAAAAATCAAGTTTTAATTTTATAATTAATATTAATAATAATATTTTTAAATTAAATTAAATATATACCCACCCTACTACCTACCCCACCAACTTTATAAATATAAAATCCTA